ATTGCGATCAACGATAGGCTGTTCCTATGTAGAATGTCCATGGCAACTCAATTAAATCCTCAATGATAATCTGGTGTTTCGCCATTCATTGATTTACTTCAAGTTGTATGAAGTTTAGCAAAATTCAGCATTCAACGATGCTTCTGGGTGCCTCTTGAAAATAGGTCTGCAGGGCTGAATTTTAGAGGAGATGAATCGAGAGGTAGATGTGGAATGGTAACTAATGGTGACGGTATCGACCAAAAAGCTCCGGTGCCTAGAAGTGGTGGCGATGATCCGCGTGCTCGAAGAATCAACTGCGTTACTGCAGACGTCGCAATTGTTGCAACATAAACAACCAACTCACATAGCGAAACTTGGGTTTACAATGGACCTCCTTGTAATCTAGGCAATCCTCATAATCCTGAAAGTAAATCCCTTTCTGCTGAGCGACTATTAGAGTTCTCAAAATTTCGCTACAAACAACTTTACACCCCAAGATGAATAAGAGTAGGAAACAGTGTCACGAATGGATAGTCGTAGTTACGACTTTCAAAGAAGTTTCTTCCAGCACAGCTGCCAAGGCTATGTCCTGCCTCTGAATTTCCCGGAATACCTGCTGAAACCGGAGCGCCCACCAACCACGCTGTTGCCTCTCCTGTGTCATCGCGTCGTCACCCACGTCCGCCATTTGCATCGACGGGCTCTTCGGGAGCGGGAGCCCCGAAGCGAGCAACGAGAACACTGCCTGGTGCTTGTCCAGTGCCACATCGTACTGTGGGTCGTGTTGCCTTGATGTCACCGCGAGGGCACAGAGGGTGAACCGATGCGAGCGCCGGAATGCAGAGGCCCAGCAGCGCCGTGTTGTTTCCTGGTCGTCTGGAGGGATTGCAAGTCGCAAAATGTACACAGTATCGGCCTCGCCCACAGTCATCGGTTGGTTAAGCTTCGTTGTATCGACTGGCAGTACCTCGAGTGCGATTGTATCAGAGTCTGCATCAAAGCAGAGGTGAGTGACCATGAAGTAACGGAAAGTTGTGACGTGTCAGACCATGCAAGTCCTTGTCGCGTTCTTGAATCTGAGCACCGAGAATTCGTATGGTGCCTATACGTTTGAGGAGGGACAATCCTTCAGAATCGGACGTTGCTGCAGCAAGGATTACAAGATCCGAGAACACGAAGACCTGGATGGGCATCCCAGAAGACGGAGTAGAGTTGGCTAGATTAAGACGCGGTGTAGGGCTTGGAGATGCAGGAGTCTTAGTGGGCGCCTGATTCAATCGTCCTCGAGGGATTGGGATCCGAAAAGAAGAGAAGAAAGTAGAGTTTGCCATTGGAGGTCCATTCAAAGAGAAGCCAGATGAGACAGTCTTGAGAGATACCTGAGAGCCGCTAACGCCTGTCGAGCTTGTAGATCCTGATCGCCCCCTTCCGGTAGCGTCCCATTGTCCGATCGTGTACCCAAGATTACTCGTCTTGTTATCAGTCGTCGGCAGGGCTCCTGGCGGGAAATATCGCGAAACGTTCGATGTTCTATGTGTCGATGCAGAGCCGTCCTTAGTTGCCTCTTCGACACCTAGCAGATGGAGCACCCCTTGATAGAAAAGACGTCGTTCTCGGGTTGCAAGTTGTACCGACGGCGTGATGCCTTGAATCCGGGTGGAGAACTTCTGGATCAGATCGTACTCGTCCTCGCGGATTTTAACCTCTGTCATGACGCGAATAAACATATCAGTAGTGTGTACGAGCGAAGTCGTTGGTAGGTAGTCGCAGTGGCCTCTAGGTGTTAATTCTAGGAGTTTCTAAATCAGAGGTTAGTGCAACGAAACCATTGTGATGCTGTCGTAGACCAATTCACCGTGAAGAGCTCTGGGAACTTGGCCAATGCATTCACCGGTTCAATCAGAAAATCTTGGAAAGTCCACCCCTCGCATTCAGGAGCATCTTCCTGAAGACGCATATACTCGCCAAAGTCGCTGTGCTCATCCTGCATCAACTGGTCGATCAATGTCACCACATCCATCAGCTTAACCAAGTAAGGCTGGTAAACCTCAAGCCTTGGAACGAAGACACGTATGGAATCAGCGATCCGCTCGACGGTAGAATATTCTGTGCTGCGGACGGCGTTTAGGGAGGCCAGTATCTGACCATGTAGAACCACAATGTCCTCGAGCCAGTCAAACAAACGCGCCACCTCTGGAGGCACACCGGAAATCCAGTCCTTGCTGCTTTGTACACGAAGAGGTAGGATAAAAAGATTCACAAAGACCTGGAGGCGCTTAACGAAGGACTCCTCTGCTTGCTGGATTTCAATTATAATGTCCTGCCGTCGCAGCTCCGTGTCCCTACTTGTGTCTTGCGCTCTGACGGCGGGTGCCGGGGGGCTAGGGAGCTGAAATCGGGCCCGATGCTCCTCGCGCCGCGGTTCGACGAGAGCGCGATTCTGGCTAGGATTCTCCGCTGCAGGTCTCGAAAATGAAGGACTTGGTGCCCTGGAATTTGCGGCTGATCGCAAAGCCTTGTGCCCATTCGACTGATGGAAAGATCAGAGTCAGCCAGTCGAACGACCAAGACGATTATAGAACGTACCTGTTGACTTCGTCTATCTCCTCTCTGGTCCCCGCCCAGCGTTTTGAACAGCGTCTCGGCAGCTGGGCTTAGCTCCGATTCGTCATCATCCCAATACACGCTACCCACCGACGACAAATCACTATCAACGTGGGGCAGGGTCCGCCGGTTTGATTGATAGTCTCCGTCAAAGTCAGATGGAGGCATTCCATACGCCTTCCGTTCACGCGCAGCCGCAGAGAATGGCCGGGAATCCACAAACTCGCCTCTCCGTTGGGCATGCACCTGCTTCCCATTTGGTTTCTTATCAGCCGCCTTATTCTCCCCAGCATCCGCCGGAGGTGGATTGGGACTATGCGCACGATGGTACACAGAATGCCGTTTCAGCGCCGCAGGAAGGCCATTAGTGTCCGTTTGTGGGATGATGGGCGAACGAGAAACTAAAGGAGATTTTTGTGGCTTATCAGGAGGCTTGGGAGAGCGGGATCGAGAATGGGAGGCACCGAGATATTGATCTGGATGTAGGGTAGCAGTGAGGTATGATGCAGGCTCCCAGGATGGCTGCGTGTTGTTGTCATTTGGGAAAATGAGTGTTGGCGTAGGTGTGCAGCTTGAGCTCCGATGCCTGTCTTTTCGGGGACGTGCTGGAGGCTGGACCTGATTATCAATTTCGTGCTCCAAATCACCTTTATACCTCTGTTGCTGCTCGGAACTCGTGTGTTTGTTTCGGTCGCGCTCGTCAGGATAGTGAGAAAGTGCATTCATGGAACCTTCATCTCCGAGTTCGCTTTCGCTGTGTTGGCTCGGCGCCGTTGTTGACCTGTCCAGATCGAGGCGAGACACAATCCCTAGAAGTGCCTCGCGACGTCGCTGGTGGTCGCTTGAAACATCCAAAGTCTCGTGATTTCGGTAACTTCTGACCTCCTGAGTTTGATTTGAGGAACGCGAGGATCGTGATGGGGTCTGAGGCTCCTCCGTACGACGAGTAGGCCTTTCAGAGGATGTGTTGCAGCCGATATCTTTCCTAGGTGACCCAGTCCTGTTGTTGGTCCCATCTGAATCCAAGTCGAAGCCCAAGCCCAGACCTCGTCCGTCCCCGTGCGAGTTCCTGTGGTTCTTACTCCGATACGCTGTTTCGTTCGTTCGCCCACGGGTTCTCTCTGCGCGCTCTAGGTCGCTCTCTGAGCTGGACGGGAATACTTCTGCATTTGCAACTACAAGATGTCGTCGGGATCGGTTCTCGGTCTCATATCGACTTTCGAAATCAGAAGACTCGTCGGTCGACCATTGGGCGTCAGAGCCGTTACGCTTTCCTTGAAGACGAGGAATACTGGATGACTGTAGAGTCTCTTTGTGATCAGGGTTAGACTTGTGACTGCTACGTGTACGCGAATCTTGGAAGAAGGCGATAGGTATGCAACCAGGATCCGTGCGGGATCGGGATCGCATCGGTACGTCATTTTTTGAGCCCTTCTAAGAGAAATGAGCGTAAGCGGGGTATGGAAAGACATTTATACACACATTTACAGCTTTCTGGCTCGTTTCCTCTTCGATGTTGATGGATGATGCGTTCGATGCAGTTTTCAATATGCTGCGTACTGAGCGTGTCGGTGCATAGTTGTGATCTGTAGTTTTCGAGAACAGCTTAGGCGCGGGTGGACGAAGGGAAGATTTAACTGGAGGTTTTGGTGGTAAATTCGTTCTCGGAATCAAGATATCGCTGGCGTTTACGAAGGGAAAATCGTTAGAGTGAGAAGTTTCTGGAGTCCTAGCTTCGTAAACATCTGTGGTGTCGGTTTTTGGGTAATCCCTCATATCGGGCCTGAATGAAGTTTGATTGATAGCACCCGCAGGAGAAAGAGATCTCGAAGACCTTCCGCCGCCGGCTGTCGATTTTGGAATCCCAAGACGCGACGCTTTTTCCGGAGGTGAAACGCGTCCCCCAGATGATGGCGAGCGCGTCATCCGAGTGATAGTGTCTCTAAGAGATGGGAGAAGGTTGGCTTCAAGCTGAGGAAGATCATTCATGAGGCTTTGACGGCGGCCACGCTGGAAAAAGGCCTGTTTTTCTTCTGTTGAGCGATGTGCGGTAGATGTGGCTTCGAGCGATGATTCCGAGGTAGATTCGGCGTCTGAAGGATAAGCTACAGGCATAAATGCGCCAGTGCAATCGCCCGTATCTGTGCAGTTGTCATGACTTGGATTTTTCGAGAAAACATAAGAATCACTGCTCGTGGGCGACCTTCGGCCATATGAAATTCCCGCTGCTGCTGCGTAGTGAGATGGTGGCAAGAAGGGGTGTGAAGATGATGGAGTTTTATGATTTGAGGGTGGTAATGGTAAGCGAGATTTACTTTGTCTAGTGTTGCTGCGAGCAAGAGGCATGGCGGTTCTCGCCAAGTTACAAAACTATGACCTTGCTGGATACGGATGAGGAGCCCTCTGAACTTGACGGGGGCATAGCTCAGTTGGGAGAGCAGCAGACTGAAGTCACCTCAACATTCTGAAGGTCCCGCGTTCAATCCGCGGTGCCCCCATTTTTTTTTCATGTGTTCAGAAGGTATGCACCAGGTTTATGTCAGGCATCAAATTTTCAGAGAGGATAACAAAGGTGGTCCAAATTCTAGTCCGGATCCTGGATTGGCAATATGTCTACTACTATCTTTCAGGAGTTGATCCACGCGATAACGTCTTCTGCCCAGGTCTCCCCCTGCCCGGTCCCAAGTGCGTAGTTCGTGCTGATATGATTATGTCCTAGGGCAATAATCTTAGTGGGCTTCTCTCCGGTACGGGCCTCCAGCGCCTCTCTGAAATCATCATTAACATCCAAGAGCCATTCCGGTTCGTTCTCCCCAACGACTATCGCCATGCGCGGCAGCCCCGCAATCGTCTCATTGGTTGCGCTGTTCAGAAGCCCTAACGGAGTATTCTTCTTCAAACCTTCTTCACCTCCCCAATGAATCTCCCCAGCTTGCTGTAGGAATCCCACATCCCATGAGTCAATACGCTCCATGTGGTGCGGGCCCGCGCACAGTATAGCTCCAGCCACGCTAGACCTGATCGCTGCCAGTGTTTCCGGAGGGCCAGGAATGACGAGCGCAGAGAAAGCATGGACAGCGCCAGCAGAGTGGCCCATGAAGAAGATGCCCTCGGTGTCTGGGATCGGCGTATTCGCTGTCATCAGTTGCTCGGGGTTCTTGATTGTCCACAGCAAAGCATCGCGTACGTCCTCTGTGCTATCTGGAAAGACTGTTCCAGGGGCCAATCGATAGTCAGGAATTACGACAATGAAGCCGTGACGCGCAAAGTACGAGCCGAGGCAGGCGTAGCCCAGATCCAAAGGTGCTGCCATCTGGCGGTCTCCGCTCACGAAGCCGCCTCCGTATATCCAGACGAGGATTGGCGTCTTTTCGGACGTGTTAGGCTTGTTGGGATAGTATACATCAAGCTATCGTCGGGGGTTAAGAGGATTTCGCGGATCGGAAAGCCGCAGGACGCACTTGGTGTCTGTCTGTAGGTCCGTACTTGAACGTTTTCCTCGGCGTTTCCTCGATTATTGCACGCTTCTCTTCTAGTAGCTGGAAGAATACCTCCACCGCTAGTCAAGATTCAGAAAACGGGACTTGTGAACAACATAGATAACACACTAGGTTCGACAATATCATGGATCTTCTTAGACTCAAATGAGGCTATCTTTTCCATCGCTTGGAATTCGGTTGTCGTGTTAGAACTTTTAGCAATGGATGGTATGGGAAGCAGAATGCTCACCAGGAACTTTTAATTGGGAACAGCTTGGCCCCTTGTGATTGAGGATCACAAGACCTCAAATCATAGAAGCGTTGGATCCTACGGTTGGTAACCGAGAGAAATCTCCAAGTCTCGAATCCAAGAATTGGGTATCAGACCATTATAAATGCGAAAAATAGTACTGCATGGGGAAAATCAAGGCAGAGAATATCAGTGCAGGTTTGCCATGCTGAGCGCTGGGATTCTAGAGATATCCGAGCGGAGTCACTGACCCATTGTGGCGGTGCCGGGTGACAAAGACGGAAGTTGCCAGTGGCGCCCAACATGGATTGTCGATCAGTTTTTACAAGCTTAAGGACCCGTGCCGTTGTCACGGGGGGGTCGCAGTTTTTGGTTGTATTTTATTACACAAATGTCTCATCTCTCCTTGTGTATTATTTTATATCTTCCAAGTTCAAATGTTGGTTTTTGTAATATTTTTGTCATAAGAGTTATAGTGGTTGGGGGGGAACCCCCGGGGTTCCCCCCCAAACCCCCCCTTGCCTGTGACATGAGCATGTTAGATCCATGCACTAACAGCTACAGTAGTTGG